GAGCAGCAGCACTGAAGGGATTTAACGTTTCCATCTTCTGTCGAAACTGTGATTGATAAAATGGATAAAATGCTTTGGTTTGTGGAGTTTACAGCCGCTCCTCAAAGGGCTTTTTGAGGGGTTTATGGCACTCACCATCCCCTGAGCCTGTTTAGGAGCAGGATGGTTTCTCATGGAAAAGGGGAAGGGATTGGGAAAATCGGCTGAAGGGAGGGCGCAGCTCCTGCAGTTCTGGGCCGTGCTGAGGTTTGGGGTCATTGCCTGGGTCAGTCTGGAGCACGGACAGGGCTGGGGCCAAAGCTGGACAGGGGCAGGAGGGCTCTGAGCACAGCAGCATTTAGGATGAACACCGAGAAGCAGCCCTGGTGGAACGAGGAAAATGGGAATTTTTCCTTTGCTCTCACCCAGTCTGCAATCCCCCTCCCAAAATCGCCAACGGGTACCACTCGGGCTCGGGGCTGCAGCAGTTCCCCTAYGGCTCCGAGGTGAAGTACAGCTGCATGGAGGGGCTGTCCCTGATCGGGGCCGAGTCCATCTACTGCACCTCCAACGATGGGGAGAGCCTGCAGTGGAGCGAGCCGGCCCCACAGTGCAGGGGTGAGTGTGGGGCCGGGATGGGATCGGGGTGTGGGGTCAGTGTATGGGGCCAGTATGGGATCGGGGTGTGGGGTCGGGGTGTGGGATCGGGGTGTGGGATCGGTGTATGGGATTGGGGTGTGGGGTCGGGGTGTGGGATCGGTGTATGGAATTGGTGTGTGGGGTCGGTGTGTGGGGTCGGGGTGTGGGGTCAGTGTATGGGATTGGTGTGTGGAGTCAGTGTATGGGGTCAGTGTATGGGATTGGTGTATGGGGTCAGTGTATGGGATTGGTGTATGGGGTCAGTGTATGGGATTAGTGTGTGGGATTGGTGTGTGAGATTGGTGTGTGGGGTCGGGGTGTGGGGTCAGTGTATGGGGTCGGTGTGTGGGATCAGTGTATGGGATTGGTGTGTGGGATAGGGGTGTGGGGTCAGGGTGTGGGGTCAGTCTATGGGATCGGTGTGTGGGGTTGGTATGTGCTCTCACTGTATGGGATCAGTGTATGGGGTCGATGTGTGCTGTCAGTGTAAGGGGTCAGTGTATGAGGCCAGTGTGTGGGATTGGTGTATGGGATCAGTGTATGGGGTCAGTGTAAGGGGTCAGCATATGGGGTCAGTGTATGGGATTAGTGTATGGGATTGGTGTGTGGGATCAGTGCGTGCTGTCAGTGTATGGGGTCGGTGTGTGGGATCGGTGTGTGGGGTCAGTGTGTGGGGTTGGTGTATGGGATCAGTGTGTGGGGTCAGTGTGTGTGGTTGGTGTATGAGATTGGTGTATGTGGTTGGTGTATGGGGTCAGTGTGTGCTCTCAGTGTATGGGGTCGGTGTATGGGATCAGTGTGTGCTCTCAGTGTGGGGGATCAGTGTATGGGATCAGTGTGTGCTCTCACTGTATGACATCAGTGTATGGGGTCAGCATATGGGATCAGTGTGTGCTCTTAGTGTGTGGGGTCAGTATATGGGATCAGTGTGTGCTCTCACTGTATGGGATCAGTGTATGGGATCGGTGTGTGGATCAGTTTATGGGGTCAGTGTATGGGGTCATGCTGAGCCAGCCCCTGGGGGCAGTGCCAGCGCCCAGAACTATGGGGTCAGTGAGCAGGGCTGCCTGCAGGTGCTGCTGCCCTCCCAGCACGGGGAATGATCCTTTTGGAAGGGACACACTCGGGCTCTCCTTTGGGGTGGGGAGGAGCAGCCCTGCCCCGGCTCCACTCCTGCACCCCATCCCATCCCTGCTCTGCCCCACAGTGGTTCGCTGCCCCAAACCCGTGCTGGAGAGGGGCACCATGACCCCACAGACGTTCACCTTTCCCTACGGGCTGCTGCTGAGCTTCTCCTGTGAGCGAGGCTTTGTTCTGCGCGGCACTGCCCAGAGCCGCTGCCAGGCCGATGGCACCTGGGACCCACCCGTGCCCTCCTGCCAGCCAGGTGAGTGCCACCCCATCCATCCCCTCCATCCCCTCCCAATCCTTGGTTTGACAATGCACGTTTCCCTTTCTGCTCAGCCTCCCAAACCCCACAGCAGGAGGATTTAGGGATTCACTTTAACAAACTGGTTTGGGGTGAATGAATCCGTGCCTTTCTGCTGCAGATGAGGTGGGAATTTTGGGGTGCTCTCAAAACCCCGGGGAATTGGGGTGCAACACTGCCCAGCTCTGCTTTTTGCCCCAAGCTCCCCAGACCTTGCAGAAGGAAGAACCATCCCATCCCCGGTGTTTTCCAGGTCACAGCTGAGTTTTTATCAACAGCCGTGTGTAAAGGAGTCTCTGAGGCAGCTCAGGAGCTCACTGACTTTCCATTAATTTATAGGAACTCTTAGGACTTTCCATTAATTTATAGGACTTCCATTAATTTATAGGAACTCCCATCATGGGGATGCCTGGGCTCAGACACAGCAAACCCACAGCAAACTCACAGCAGGGGCTTCTCCCACCTCACCCTCTTGAGAAGAAATATTTCTGCTTTAGCATTTGGTTTCCACAATTTAAAATTTAAATTTAAAGTTCCTCAGCACTGGCTCAGCCACCCCAAACTCTCCAGGATTTTTCTGAGCACCCTTCTGCCATGGGGTTTTCMTTTCAGTTCCGTGCCCACAGCCCCAAATACCCTACGGGAGGCTGAGCAGCCCTTCAGGTGATAAATCGTGGTACCAGACCAACGAGACAGTCACCCTGGAGTGCCTCGATGGCTTCCAGCTCTCAGAAAATGCCATGGAGGATTCCTGGACAGCCACATGCCTCCCTGATGGCAGCTGGACACCGCTGCCCAAATGTGTGAGTGTGGGATTTCATTCCATTATGGAATTATGGAATGGTTCGGGCTGGGAGGGACCCTAAGGATCATCCAGTTCCACCCCTGCCATGTTCAGCCTTTGCTCAGAGCCTCAGGTGGCTCCTGAGTGGATGCCACCTGATTTCTGACATGAAAAATGCCTCAACTTCCCAAAATCTTTTCCTTTCTGCTCCCCACAAAGATTCAGCCTCGGAGCTGAGGGGTGGGTGCCTCTCCCTCTGCTTCAGTCCATTCTCACAGGCTTTTCTGGGCTTTGTCCTCCTTTTCAACAGAAAAAAGAAGGCGATGTCGATGCTTGTCAGGAGGTTCATTACATTAAATCCACCTTCGAATGCGGTGTGCCTGTAGGAGAGGTGAAAACCCTGCTGGAAATACAGAAACTCTTCCTGGAGATCAAAAAACTAAARGTGGAGCTGGAGAACTGGAACGAACCTGGACCCGTGTAAAGCTCACCTTTCCTTCGGTGAATTCTGTGCAGTCACAGCATCTCTGAGAAGGCTCTGGCTGATTTATGGTTTATGTTTGCATGCCTGGAGCCAGAGAAACGATCAGCAGTGCATGGCAGGCTGCTGTGCCACGCTGGATGCCAGAGCAGGGAGCGGGCTTTGCTCTAATCTGCAAGCTTGATTTGCTCTTTAACTAATAAAGTTTCACATTTCATATTAGGAACCCAAAATTGTGAATAAAACCCGGGCGCTGCACCCTCCTGGTGGGACCCCTCACTCCCCTGGGACTGCACACAGCGGTTTTACCTCCTTCTCCCACTTTGGCACCCAAAATTGTGAATAAAAGCCGGGTGCTGCTCCCTGGGTGTGCGACACCCTGGCTGATGTCACACGGGACATATCCCAGGGCTGCTCACACCCGTTCCTCRTTATGAGTCAGGAATTCAGGGGAAAAAAAAAAACAGCAAACGAAAAGGGAAAATGTTTTTATTTGCTTCACTAACCCTGCTGACAGCAGATCTGGGCRCGTCACCTGCCAGCAAATAACCGAGGAGGTGTTTTCCCACCCTGGACGCAGCTTGGGGCTGGAACGGGGTTTTTGCTTTTTCTGGGAGCGTGGTTTTGGAAAAAAAAAATGCTGGAAAAATGCTGGAAAAAATGTTGTCGGTGCTCCCTGCCAGCCCCAGGACAAAGAAAAGGGTTGAGCCTTTCCCCCGTTCCCTCTGGGGCAGGAGGAGCAGGAGGAGCAGGAGGCTCTCCCCCAGCTGGGAGTGACATTGTCCCCACCCCGGCTGCTCTCACCCCACTTGTCCCCACCCCACCTGGCTGCTGTCCGTGTTCTGCCGGAGCCTGCAGCTCTCTGGGTGTCCTGGCAGGGTTTTCCCGGCTCCGAGGTTTGCTGGAGCCGCTGCCGAGCATCCCTCCCGTCCCAACCCCGCGCACAGCCCGGGGATGGCTGCGATGGAGGAGAGAGCGCCGAGGTGGGGATGGGGGGCACACCCYGAGCCCCCCGGCTGTGGGGCAGCCCCAGGCCGACCCGCGCTGCTGCTGGTGCTGCTGGGGCTGCTCGGCCTTCCTGGGGCTCGCGGTGAGTATGGGGCCGGGGCAAGGACAGGGGGCACCTGACCGGGACACACCCAGGGTGGGGTGGGTGGGGA